CCTGAGCCCCTCCCTGTGCAGGTGGACGTGCTGGTGACCACGGCGGGGGGGGTGGAGGAGGACCTGATCAAGTGCCTGGCACCCACCTACATCGGGGACTTCCACCTGCGGGGCCGGGACCTGCGGGAGAGCGGCATCAACAGGTCCGAGGGAGGGGAGAGATGGGAGGCCGGGGACCCTTCTGGGGCCACCTCTGAGCTCACCTCGGGGTCATTTTGGGGTCCCCCAGGATCGGGAACCTGCTGGTGCCCAACGACAACTACTGCAAGTTTGAGGACTGGCTGATGCCCATCCTGGACCGGATGGTGGAGGAGCAGGACACGCAGGTAAGGGGGGGACGCCCACCCACCTGAGAAGGTTTGTGGGGTCCCTGGACACCTGAGTTGCCCCTGGCTCTGGGTGGGGGTTTGAGGGAGTCCCAGGACCCCCCCAGGCCGGGGGTCCTGAGCCTGGTTTCCCCCCCAGGGCGTGCGGTGGACGCCGTCCCGGGTGATCGCGCGGCTGGGGAAGGAGATCAACCACCCCGAGTCGGTCTGTTACTGGGCCCAGAAGGTACTGGGGGGCACTGGGAAGCACTGGGGGGGGCTCTGGGGGGGGGTGTCACCAGGGATATCACCGCGTGTCCCCCCCCTCTCAGAACAACATCCCGGTGCTGAGCCCGGCGCTCACCGACGGCTCCCTGGGGGACATGATCTTCTTCCACTCCTACAAACGCCCGGGGCTGGTGCTGGACATTGTGGAGGGTGAGTGATCCTCCTGGGGGTCCCCTCCGGGGTTTTGGGGGGGGGTCTCCAGTTGTCCTGACCCCCCCTCTGTGCCCGCAGACCTGCGGCTCATCAACACCCAGGCCATCTTCGCCCTCAAGACCGGGATGATCATCCTGGGCGGGGGCCTGGTCAAGCACCACATCGCCAACGCCAACCTCATGGTGAGGGGGGCTTGGAGGGGGGTGTCCCAGGGGTGGGGAGGGGGGCACGGGGACCCCCCCCAGGACTCACAGCTGCGTCCCCTCCCCATCAGAGGAACGGCGCCGACTTCTCCGTGTACGTGAACACGGCGCAGGAGTTCGACGGCTCCGACTCGGGCGCGCGGCCGGACGAGGCCGTGTCCTGGGGCAAGATCCGCGTGGACGCCACCCCCGTCAAGGTTGGGGGGGGTCCAGGGGAGTCTGGGGGAGAAGTTTGGGGGGGCTTTGGAAGGGGGAGAACCCCCCTGACTCCCTCCCCTGGCGCAGGTTTACGCCGACGCCTCGCTGGTGTTCCCGTTGCTGGTGGCCGAGACCTTCGCCCGCAGCGCCGACGCCTTCCCGGTGCCAGGGGGGCACTGAGGGACTCCCCGGCTCGGGGGTGACCCCCACACGCATCCCCAGGGTGGGGGACAGTGGGGTGACACCCCCTGGGAAGGGAGGGGGGGTACAGGAGACTTCCACACCTGCCCTCCCCTGTCCCCGTCCCCTTGTCCCCCATCCCCTCCCCGCTGCTTGTATTTATTTGAGCTCCCAATAAACCACAGCCGGGTCTCCACTAAGGGGGGTTTATTCCTCATTCCAGGGGAGCCCGGGGGGGGGCCCCCAGCCCCTCGAAACCCCCCCCCAAAGCCCTGTCAGGTGTCGGGGTCCCCCTCTGGCTGGAAGTTCTCCTCCCTCCACAGCGTCACCTGGCCCTGGGTGGCCGCCAGCACGCAGGGCAGGCGCGGGTGGAAGGCCAAGGACTGCACCACCCCCGTGCCCACGGGCAGGCTGAGCGCCAACGAGCCCTGGGGGGGACACAAGGGGGTCAATGAGGGGCTGGGGGGTCCCCAAAGCCCCCCCAGCACCTTGTGCTCACCTCCACCAGGTCCCAGAAGTAAACGTGTCCGTCCTCGGAGGCGCAGCCCACGTGCGTGTCCTGCTCGCTCAGGACACAGTCCAGCCTGTACGTGGTGCTGCGGTGCCCCGTGTACCTGGGCAAGGGGGGGGCTGGGGGTGAGGGGAGGGGGCTTGAAGACCCCCCCCAAGAGGGTGGGAAGGGGTTTGGGGAGGGCTCTTACTCGCCCAGCAGCTCCCCCGTGTCCTTGTCCAGCAGCCGGAGGGTGGAGTCCAGGCTGGCGACCAGCGCGCACTGCCCGTCCTTGGTGAAGCACACGCTGGTGATGGGGCCTGCAGGGACATGGGGAGACCCCTCCCCACTTTAGAAGCCCCCTCCCCACTTTAGGACACCCCCCCCAAACCTGGGAATGCCCCCAGAGCTCTCCCACCCCCCAAAATCACTGCCTGTCCTTG